CAGCACAACCCTCTGCAAGAATGAATAAAACAGGTTGGGAGCTGGTAGAAGGGATGGGCACATCCAGGAAAGGGGGGTTGTTAGGCTCAACGATTTGGGTGGCCAGATGGTGTCGACATATGGGCCTGTTAGGGGCAAAATAAATAAATAAAGCATACACTTATGAATACTGAGAGCCAGCTGAGAAACATAGACAATTGCCACACGGACAGGAATCGTTTTTGCACATTTAAGTCAAATAACACAATAAACATGTGCGTCTACATAAATCTGAATGTCTTCGAAAAGTCAACCTCTTGAATTAATTCAATACCATGAGTGAAACTTCATTTTACACTGATTCAACATACATAGAAGATTTTTGGTGCATCCCTCTTAATCCTGTGGTTTACAGAGAAAGGTATTTATTGATAGTTTATGTTGTTAATTTTTCTTTGCTGTGATTCTTAAAATTTTGTGCTAATTAAAACTTAAAAAAAAGAAGAAATGTCAGAAAATTTAAATATGATTATGCAAGAGTAAAAACCAAATCGGTACGTTTTGGCCTTAACATATTCACTGCATCACCCTGACTTTAAGGGAAGCTACGCTATACAGCTTACTGTAAATTGCGCATGCTGTAAACAGCCATCCCCCACTGCGAAGTGAAAAGTGTCAAGCCGAACAGCATCTTTGCCAGCAATGAAATGTCTGAAACATTCCTCTTGCTTTGGCTTTCATTGCTGAATATTTGAAGTGTGGCCAAATTGGATTGAATGGCTTCTTTCATTTCCATTGTCAAACTACAACCATTCACAACTCCGTCTTCTGTTTGCTGATTGTTTGGGTGAAAATTCTTCCTCAACGACAGAAAGCACTTAAGGAAGGTGAGACTAGAACAGAATGGCACAGGAAGGAAACGGCCAGGGACAGTACTGTGAAGTAAACCAGGTGAATGGTGAAGTAAACCACTTTTGGCAATATAGGCAAATTTCAAATTAAGCAGGGATTTTATGAAGGTCACTAAGTGTAGTTTATATATTCTTCGCTCAGGTAGAAAATATTTAAATGCAGTCCATGGTTTTCTAGTGATCTAACATAAGAAATTGCTCTGAATATATCTGGTGATTCTAGAATCGCTGACAACTTCTGCTGCAGTTCACAGTCTGTGAATGTCCTACAAATTCCTGAATAAACTTTGCTCTTCAGTCCTCTCAAGTAGTGATGTGTTGTTCACGAATGCAAGTCTAACACCTGACTTTTTGTCGGGGAATGAGAAGGGCAAAATCCCAGTGGGGGGGCAGAACTGAATCTCAGCTGCTGACGCTCATCTAGTTCAGAATCCATGTCGGCAGTGGTAGTGCTTTACACTTACAGGCACACCATGCAAAGAGAAACTAAAGCCACACCACTCTGTGAAAAGAGGAAAAGGGTACTTGTAAGCCAGCAAGTGTGGCGGTACAGGGAAGCTGCACAGGAACAGGCTTTCAAACTGAAAGCTTTCAATAAAATATTAAGAAATGGTCATTGTGCTCTGGTTTAATAATAAGAGAAAAGCAAAATAAAAACCTTTGTAATGCTGAAAGAAACAATAAAAAATACATAAACAATGGGTAATTGCCAAGTTTTAGATGTGAAAGCTTGTAGTGGTACTAAATGAAGAGCCATTTTGGAGCCTAAGAGCACTGAGCCAAACAAGCTAAATTTTTGACAAGAGCTGAACCATCACGACTTCCAATTCTGTGTTTTACCTTTTTGAATTTGCACCTTTTTCCTTCACTTAGCTTTCTTTTAATATGCCTGGCTTCAGCACTCTGCAAACAGCAGCTTTTTATGGAATTGTCTTCTATAATGTAACCTCCTAGTGGTGACTGTCAGTGACTGTCTACCGGACAACTGTCAAGTCAGCAGTTTTCGTCTTGAGTGTATAAGGCTTAGCATGGTCAAAAAAGAAAAAAAAAACCTTTGTATGAAAAATTCATTTTGGTGACATTGTAATTTTCTGAGGAACTCAATTTTAGGTTTTCATTAGGGTCAAGCCATAATCATCAAAATTAATAGAACACTTAAAATATATCACTTCATGTGTAATGAATCTATACGAGATTCCCCTTTTGAATTAAATTACTGAAATAAATGAACTTTTCAATGATATTCTAATTTACTGAACTGTGAGCAGTCGCCACACAGAAGTCATAAAATGGTAAAGCTTTTCCTTTCTTTTTGAGCAGTGTTTTTCTTTTGTGTGTGTGTGCAGTGGTTTGGTTGAGATGCTGCCATGTTTGCCCTCCCCCTGTGCTGCTATCTGTGCATTCTCCACCTCTTGTCTGCCTCCTGCTCAACCTCAAAGCCCTTGGCTCAGTCAGAAAGGCAGCCAAGCTGAGAGCAGCGATATCTTCCAGCAAACAAACGGATGCTTTGTACAACGTGTTCTCTGTCTGCATCAACTTTGCGCCTCACGCCAAGCTCCAGACAAGATCTCTTTCCCGACACAGAAAAATAAAAAATAAAAAAACACAGACGGAGGATGCGTGGGGTATTTGTGCCCCTTCGCAAAGTCTCATTTCCCCGCTTTCGCATGCAACGAGCTCACGTGTCCAAATGTTGCTAGAAATTCTTGAAAAGGTAACAGGACGTAGGAGAAATCTGCTCACATCAAGTCAGCTTGTGTTTAGTTTGTGCGCTCGCCCCATCAATTCTGTCAAGCCTACGTTTGGCTCTTTTCCCCGTGCCTCCAGCTGTGATATGTGGATAGACATCACTGCCTTGTTGCCACTTTATATTCCATTTGGCTCTCTGCCCTCGTCATGTCTGCACATTTAATTTGATTGCAGCTGTAATCTGCAAGCTAGTTAATTGACTTTGCCTGGCATTGTTCCTCTGTTACCTGGATGGAGAGGAGTAGCTTGATAAGTTGCAATGTCTTATCCTCTCTGGAAAAACCTGAACTTACATTGTGTGCGTTGGGGCCTAGATCACAAGAGAGTGTTCCTCCACAGCAAGAAAACTATGGTGAAAACTTATCAATGGAGAAGACAGAGCTGACCAAAGTTTTCCTAGCATAAGTCAGTGTTGTCACAGTAAACGGAGAAGCCTGTCAGTGTCTAACCCACTCCGAACAGATTATGTTCTCATTGAACCTATGTGCCATTTCAAAAGTATCATTTGTCAGATCTTTCACCCAGAATTATCTTTCTGAATACATTGTCGCCACTGACAAGCATATTTTGGGAGAAAATAACTTCATCATGACCCCACTTTAAGTTAACATGACCAGCTTGAAAATTACATTACAAAAAAGCACTGTTGCTCATGGCAACACTGACTAACTTTCAGAGCCCAATGTTAGATTTACTTACAGTGTTAAAGGATTACAACACATTCAGGCAATTAATGTAATTGCTTTGTGTTTTCTTTTTTTTGTTTGTTTTTTTTTTTGCAATCTTAAATACACCAAAACTCACTTATTCAACTTCTCATTCAATGAGAAGACTTATCTTTTTCTCTAATACAAACCAAAAACTGCTTTACTTGGTTACGTCCTCTTCACAGAAGCCTATTTCATCACCACACCATTAAAATAAATAATTTAAAAAAATCACTCAGAATATGGATGGTTTCGGCAGGGTCTTTGGAAGGTCTTGGACTGTGCTCCCCATTATGAATAATGAAGCTTGCGAGTTATTCTGGACATGCACAAAACCTCTGTGGGTGCTTTATTGGTTGATAATGTGCTGTGACTAAGGTACAGCTTGGAAAACCCTGGAGCTGTATTTTATACAGTATGGATTTGTCAGAGAATTTCAAGCGGAATTGTTCACACTGATATCATGGCAACTTTGCAATTATAGAGTTACAGCACAGGCAGGATTATGTTTTTTGCAGAGGGTTTTCTTTAAATCCTCTCAAAGAACTTCTTTAAATGTTGCTAAATAGGAGCAAAACAAAAGGAACCAGTGCTACACCAAATGTGTTGATGATCCAAATAAAGCTTTTTTTTTTAGAGACAGGGTGAGATGCTCTGTCATAGTGGACATTTTATTAACACTTTATGTAGATGCTTGTGTCCCCAATTCTTATATTCACCAAATGTGGCTGATGGTTGTAAAAAGTTTAGTTCGAAATTTAGGACTATAAATGAAAACGTTGAACCAGGCTTTGCGACGTGTGAATGCACTGGTCAGTGAAAAACCTTTTCACATCTGTTGATGAAGACATTTATTCTACCAGTTGTTCCAATAACTTACATTTCTACAGGGTAACTTTATGGTAGTTATGAGGCCATTTCTACACCCACCTAATCTTTTTTCAGAGTTGCAATGGAAGCAGGTGGTTCTCTCCAGTAGTCAATAGGCAAGTAGAGCACACCCTGTACAGATCACCAGTACTTCACAGAGTAGGCTCAGGATGCCATGTTTGGCAAAATAATAATTTAGCTAATGCACTCCCACAGCACTCCACCTGAGCTACGCCTTGTCAAATGTTTCTGAACAAGTTTATTTCTGTCAATGACAAATTGGACGGCCTCTATGTGGGTTAATGGTGATAACAGCCTGATCAATTGTGCTGGTTTACATTACATTGTTCACTTGGACGGATCCACTATTCAAAGCAAACGAAATCAAACTGTCTGTGTCCTACTTGGGTAATTAGGAGAAAACCCATTTAGGAACACACTAGCACTTCAGGAAAGTGATTGAAAACAAGTAGGCTGGTCGAATTAAAGCAACACTCAGAGCATTGTAAAGACCTGCAAATTAAACCGGTGTGGGAAAAGGTAAACAGTGAAAAAGAAGACAAGACTAAAAAGTGATGCTACCTTTGAACTCCTGGCAGCAAAAAGGGAATAGTGTTTTCTTTTTTCTTGTAATTTAATTAGCAGTACCAGTGAGGGTTTCTTGTGTGCTTACTATTAAATGATGTATGACTGGACATGAGACTGCACACACGATAAGTATCAGCAAAACATACTGACAAGACATCTCGAATATCTGCAGCAGCATTCATTCAAAGCAACTTACGTGTTGCCATAGTTCCAGACAACGCACTGAGGATCTGATGTACCCTGCAAGATAGAGAAGAGGGAGGACAGGGAAGGGTGGGGGGTACAGAGGGGGAAGAGATAAGCTGTTATTGCCAGTGGAAAGGAGGAGGCAGAGGGACAGAAGACAGAGTAGCTTCTTGCCAAAAGGACAAAGAGTGATGCTGCATGGGCAATGGAGAGAAGCAAACAGACAATGGAAGAGAAGGATTGTGACAGACGGTGAGTGCAAGACATGGTGAAAGAGTCATTCTTTAATAGGACAGAGCAGCAAATAGCTGCTACTGATGCGACTGCAGAAAGAGAGGAGGTGTGTGGCGCAGACTCGAGACACTGGAAGCAATAAAAGAGTACATTTCATGGACATGAGCACTGAGAATAACTGCACTTTAGAATGAAAGCATCATCTTTTAGGTACATACAGACTAGGGCATAGTCCAGCAAACTCCAACAATGACAAAGCTGTTGGGGAAACAAAAACTGCCAAGCAAGGATTAATTTGACCCGTACAATAGAGTCTGAAACATCTCGCAATCTGACTGGAAAAACTCAAACGTAGCTTCAGATTAGACTAAACATGTTCTGATGTCAGCTTGCCAGCACATCCATTGACTAGCCGATACCAGAAGCCAATAGGCTGGAGTCCAAGTGGTGCATAAATCATGTGGTAATCGAAGTAGGTGGCAAAGGAAGACTCCATATGACTCAATCAGTGAATCAATCAGGGGATCGATATCTTTAACTGACTCATCACAATCTGTTCCACCAGCGATCTTAAGTAGTTCCTGCACTGATTAGTTCAAACTCGTCTCTGTTCTTTCAACCAGGGGTGAACTTTTTTTGGTTTACTTGAAATTTTAGAGAAACATTTTATTTGGGCCTCAGAAATAGAATACATTGTGGGACTCTGATTCATTTTTGACATAGCTAGTAAAAGTTTGTTAATAGCTTGAGGTGAGTGTACACTATTGAAATCTGCACAGTGGTACAAGAAGAGGAAAATTGATTCCTATGTTTTTTGTATGGCGAGCCCTCTTAAGTCCTAAGCATTAAGCAATTTGCCTTTGAGCTCCCCCTTATGGCAAACAAGCTTATAGCAAGAATTCAACAGACATGCAGCTTTTTCATTTATTGTCTTGGAAAACATTAACATTCAGTGTGATACACCAACCCAAAGTAGTGCATCATTTTTGACAGAAGAAAAGGGATAACATAGTTTCCAAGGTGTTGGAAAATTAAAATGGAAAAAATACTTTCCATTGCTTAAAGCTAAGTTTAATTAGTTAAATTCACACCTTGCCACCGCACAGTGGGAATGATTGCCTTCACTGAGGACTGAAAGGGCTTTTAGTTCATGGGATGACGAATATTTACAATGAAATTTCAAGAAGACATTTTAAAATAGATTACATTCCAGCAGTAAAAAAAAAAGAAAAAACAATGTGTCTTTTTCCTTCACATTTGTTTTGGTATATCATGGAAAATCCCAGTAAGATGCACGTTCAAGTGATTTGAATATTTTGTAAGTTAATGTATTCATAAAAAAAAAAAAAAAAACTGTTGTTGACAAAATATGGAGAGGAAGTAGAAGAAGTGCTTTCATCAGTCAGATTCAGTTTCTTTTAACTAAGCCAAAGGGCTCAATAGAGGTGGTGCACACAGGAGGAGACAGTAATATGATGATTTATTCTGAGAAAGACAAGGTCATTTGTCCTTCTTCAAGCAGTTCAGGAGTGTTCTACCACGAATCAGTTCATCCATGACTGGACTTGAGAGGACGAGATGATGTAAGGTCCATGTACACAGGCTCAGAGAACAGATGACGACGATTGATGGATGAAAAGTGCTTTGTTCTGCCTTACACACAGGCAGCCGTCACCAACGTTAGATGTCCCGAGGCATGCATTAGCGTGGCGAGCTCCTTTAACATGCAGCTATCAATCATCAGGCATCGTGTTTGCTACAGGACGACTGACATTTTTGTTTTTCCGCAATGTATGGCTTCTCCTTAATGCTTCTGCCTCGTATAGTGACATCTCAAATGATGTCTCTTAAAGGAAGCACACAGTGTGGCTCGATGACGATAATAGCATCTGCCTTTGAAGTCTTCTCTTTTATTCTTGAAGGGGACTGCCTCTTCTTAAGGTACCCAATATCTCATGTGGTAATGAATATTGGCTATGGATATGGTAAGCTAGTGAGATGAAATAACCTAATGCAACAGCATATAAGCACACAAACACGGGTTAAGGGATTCTTAAAAGCCTTCAACTTCATTTGAAATATTAGAGATGCCAAAAAAAAAAGAAACTAAAAACAAAATGGGGCAATCAGGCGGATGCTGTTTTATGGATCAAAGTCACCTTATGCATGATCTGAATTTATAAGGAATGCCCAGGTCTTTAATGGTGAGCGAAGAATCATCTCCTACATAAAAATATACGTATGAACGATGGAGCAGGTGGACTCTGGCACTTGGCATATGTTGAACTGGTCTGCTTTGGGGATACTGGGGTTTGGGGCCTTGTGCATCCTCCTCAACATTAAAGACACACAGAAATCAGGACAACAGGGATAAAGACATGGACTCTGACTGGAGCAGATGTCCTCTCAGTAAAGACATGACCCTGCACACTTGCTTTGGAGAGTGAAGCACAGGGCAGCTGTTGCTTTGCTACAGCTCAGGCAGCTGGATGTTTCGAGATTGGCTAAGGTCAGACCCAAAGTATATTCTTATGCAACAAGGGACAAAATCATGGTGTGTGCATCTCCCTGGTTGTGTTTTGTATAGGAAGGTTGAATGTGAATATGAAAGCAAAACAAACTGAATCAAAAATGCACACAATGGCGGAACAGATTCTTGGCATAGGCCGTGTAGACGGTTGGCTAAGGTGGCAGCTACTGAAGGGAGTTCTGCTACAACAGCAGACAAAAACAAACAATTCTTGCAAAGTTTGAAAACGCCAAGATAAATATAAAATCGATGCCAAAGGCAACTTAGAATGAAATCAACTTCATATGGAAATTTCCATTGCATTTGAAATTAGGCTGTCGAAGAGCTTAGAGCTGTTAAGACCACATCCAATTTGTCATAGCATTTATGCATATGTCTGATGAGATTCAGATGTAAGTAATGGAAGAAGTAATTGCTATCATATTATTTTTATTCAAAGTCACATCCTAATGCTTTAGTGACAAATGTCATCACTCTATAATAGGGACCAACCACAGTGGCAGAAACAGAGGCAGGGTTATTTCACACATAAACTCAAGCATCAGTCCAAGGTTATTTTTGTTGTTGTTGTCGTTGACTAAGCTGTTTGACGAAGTTGAGAGGTGAAATTAGTGGAGCTAAAATATTTTATCCAAGTCATTTCACCATTTTAATCTAACAAAAAACATTTTGTGTGTGTTAAAGCCAAACTTTACTGCGTCTGAAACAATAATCATGTAACATATTTTAAAATTTAAATTTCTTTTCTGCTGGTCATCTCACTAAATGTGAAAAAAGTTGCTTCCCAAAATCTCGTTAAACATTTAACCTTTTAATGGCACCCTGCTTTAGGTAGAAACTTGTGTTTTGCTTTGAATGGCTCACACTTTGTAAAATGACCTGAGTTTTTCTCACCTAGTCCCTAGAAAAGCTTGGAAAATGAGAAATTATATTTTTAATGATGCCTATGCAACCAAACAATGAAAAATCAGCTAACAGTAAGACTTGATGATTGTCTCTTCCAAAACTTGAATTTAGCAATTAGGCAATGTTCTTTCTTTTGCATAAATGACTTCTGTGGTCAATAAGCTTCAACTAGAAAGCTATGAAACATCAATCCACTCTGTTAATACTGTTTGATTCACCAAATACCACTTAATCCCCCCTGGAGCTCATTAAAAACATTTATACTGTGTCAAAATTGTGTTTTTAAAATGATTGCATTCAAAGTTTTCCTAAATCTTCAGGGGAAGTTAATCAAAAAGTAAATATCCCAGTGTTTACTTATAGGAGTAAAAACATCAAAGTTTGCATAAAAGAAACATTAATGCTCAACCTTAAAATGAGACTTATGATTGAGAGTGATTGGGAGGAAAAATATTAGTTCCCAAGAAGAGTAAAGATTACAGTTGCGAGTGATGCAAAGAAAAAGCGATTGTGAGATGACTTAAGAAAAGAAAAAAAAAACTAGGTGGACGATTATGCCCACAAAACTCTGGGATAAGATATTATTATCTGGGATTGCTTCAGTAAATTTCACATATGTTTTGCCAATACGTAAATCTCGGAAGATGAGATGAAACATCGTCTAAGATGAAGATGATTCAGCACAAGAGAACCAAACAGGATTCAGGTTATTTTAATGTGTAAATCACAGATTTTGTTGCCCGTTTATTGAAAAGTTTAACAAATCATCAAAATGTGTTGTTGTCACATAAATTCTATGCAGAAATACCATTTTTGTTTTTTTGTTTTTTATGATGCAGACTTTCTGAAGAAATGTTCCCAATGGCACAATGGATGCATTTTGTGGTCAAAGCTCAGGCTGGTGCAACAAGCACAGCACTGCAGTATCAAGAACAACCTTTTTAATCATCTGCATGGGTTCTGTTTGGATGAATCTCTTGTTAACTCTCAAACGTTTGGGAAATAAAATAATCTAATTCTGAAGCACTCTTTAGAGAAATATAATACTGACTTTAGAACGGGTTATGTATACAGCAGCATCTGCAGTGCCAAGTTTGGCCAAACCCTGAGCTGTAGTGCGTGCCAGAGAAGTGCTTGTACTCAGCGGGAGCCTTCAGGTTGCAGAGTAGTGCAGCATGCAAGGGTCAGCATTAAGACATTTTGCTTTGGACAGAGAATACCCCCCAAAAAAAAAAAAGATAATAGAAAGTGTTAAGAATATAAGTTTGGTTAGCATAACTTTAGAGACAGTCAACTTTTGTGCATATGAGATATTAGATGTAGCATGAACATTTTGAGTAGATTCTAAGTTAGGTAAACTTAGATAAAGATCCAAACTAAAACAATTGCTGATTCTCCAAACTCACATAAATTACTAAGGAGGGCCTTCAGACAGGGGAATATCCAGGCACAGAGAGTCTATCTCTTATCAGGAGGAGTAAAAATCTTTGGTGTTTGTTTATGACTTCAGTAAAACACTAAAACTTTAAGAAAAGTCTTCTACAAGTATAATCAAATGTATTAAGATAGTTCCTTTAAGCATTAACAGCATGTTCTGAATTATTTAGTCTCTAACCATACTATTTGCATGCATTTTATATTACTGAAATACAATAGGATTAGGAAACTATTTTGCTTTTAATATATTTCAGGTATTCTAAAAGAGCTTTCCTAAAAGTAGACAACCATGCAGTTTTTAGATCCAAATTTATAGTTATTATTTGGCATTAGATTTTTGTGCCAGTTTGTTTAAAATAGAAATCAGTTTCTTGTTGAATTACTGAGACAGAAAACCGCTATGTCTAGCTGGAGGTCATAAATTCTGGTCTCGAATGTAAAAAAGGGGAGACTGGTACGGGACAACTCTAGTGGAGAATGACCTTTGTTCTCTTCATATATTTGCTTTTGGGTTTTTTAGCAGGTCTCAAGCAAGGTAATAAAATTAACATTAAACAGCCCTACAAGGGGAGGACACACCTTCTAATGCATATATTTAATTTAAGGGAATACACATCCTCATAAAAAGGTCTGTTTTACAGCAGAAGATCGAATTGCTTTGTGTCCGAGTGAGCAATTCCCAAAAATGCATTTTTGTCTTTCCTTTTCAACTCGTTGCAGGTAATACTATGTTTTGTCATATGTTGGACTTCTTGATGATCTGGGTGTAATGCTGATATAACATTCTGTATGCATTGAATTCTCTGGATAAAGCTCTATAAATATCTAAAGTCTGATGTTGAATGGTTGTATCTTTATTACTTCCCCTGCACATGTGGAGTCCCTGGATCTGGGAACTAGAGGAAAATTAGCGAGCCAAGTGAAGTTCTTGCTCTACGTTTTAACAAAAGACAGGAAAATATAAAGGAATGTAAACGTAGAGTACTGCAAAACTGGAGAGCAGCAGGGGATGCAGACTGAAGATCATTTTCATAAAATCTTGTCATATATTTTGACCATGTCAATCAGATTTAATAGAGATATTAGAGTGTATGTGCAAAGAGGTGAAACGGGATAATGGGACAAGAGAGAATAATCAACACCTATCTTTACATAGTAGTACAGCCAATAAAACAATCACCCTATCAACATTCAAAAGCTCGCTTCCCATTATACTCATACACAATAATTTCCATGAATATTGTACTTTCATATTAACAAAACAGACACTCAAAGTCTACCGTATAAAAAAGTCAGAAAGATCTGTGTTTGCACATACTATTCAGTTAGCATTAAAGCGGTTTATATCACGCAGCACTTTTTATTTCCTCAGAAGCTGAGCAACTTGAGGTCAGCCGGGGTGACAAGACTCCATTAAAGCCTCACAAATATTTACAAAACCAAAAGATGCTTAGTCTACAAGAGCAAAGTAGGAGTAAAATTGCATACCCTTGCATTAGAAAGTGCTCTTTATAGAGTTATTAGCATTTTTTTTGCACTTTGATATAAATGAGGAAATATGTGAGCTTTCTTGTAAGTTTTTCTGTAAGTTGGGTTGGAGAAAAAAATATCCCCATTGGTAATCAAAAGTCTAGTTATTATGTACCAATATAGATGCTGAGTTTAGATTTATTAGGACTTACATTTAAAAGCGGTGACAGCTCCACCACAACCATGGGCTCACTCGGCTGAGGTTCGGGTCGCACCGTCACCGTCAGGATCTTGGAGTTGATCACCGCAGGAGGACTTGAAGTACAAACAAATACGAAATTGATGATACAAAGATATACATCCAGTATATGTGCATGTTTTTGGAGGATTTCAGAGAAAAGCTCTGTGAAATCCTCCAAGTAAATGAAAAACAATGAGAGGGGAAGGTCGATTCGGAGAGGGCCTTGGTGAAAACAGAATTCTGTCCCCGTTAACATTTAGTTAGTTGAGAAAATGGTCTCAAAAGATCCAACTTTCCCGCAACCAAGAGAGCTGACCTGAATAGAACAACCCATTATCACCGCAAAATACATCCTCACAGAGGATTTTAATAACCTTTACATTGCCTCCACGTCTTGCCCTTCAAAGACTGGGAAGTTGACCATTAACAAACATGACAATGGAAAAGTAGTAGAATTTAGGAGGAAACTCTATATTGTTATTTAAGAGGAATAATAATCTAATCTAATCTAATAAAATAACAGAAAGAGATAGAAACAAGAAGTGAGGGGTAACATTTTTGGAAGGAAATCATTTGAACAAATAACAACAAAAGTACTCACTTTGGTCCAGGTAAGATGATGCCAAGGGTTCTGTACAAAATCGCTCCAATGACATAATACATTGTGGTTTCTGATTCTTCCCCCGGCTCTAAAAAGAAAGATAGTAAAAGAATAATTATTGAATAAATGCTGTAGAACACAAACTCCAAATCCTAGTCAAAAGACAGAAAAATTTACAACTTTTACCTTTGGTAAATCCCTTTATGTGGAAAACACCAGTAAGATCAGATAACTTAGAAATATAAATCCAACTTTAGACTAAAGCTAATGCCAAAAAAAGCTTAAAAAGACATAGAATGCAAATATCTACAATTCAGAGTTCATCAACATGAAATTATTCACACCGCATTTTGTTCTCATCTCAAATTGTTGCTTACAAATGCTCTGTTGGCTGCTTCACTACAAGAAAAGTCAATAAACTGCTGTGCCTGCCTAAAAGATATGACAGTTACACATTCGCTCTAATTATGTGTCCAAGCTGGAAAAGTGATTCATGCACTCTTGCTGATTCTTTTTCTTTGTGTGGATGGAGATGTGGATTATGTCAATTTGTTTGAAACTCCCAGCCAGCAGCTTACCTACTGCGCGGCTCGACCTGTTGTAACAAAAAAACCTCGTTAGTGAACAAAGTCCAACACTAAAATGGACCAAGCTTTGGAAAAATAAAAGTTCAATTGGAGATTTAAGTCATTATGGCGAATGACCTTGCCCTATGTGTTGTTGTTTTAAAAAAGCCTTCTTTTTTTTCTCTCTCTCTCTCTGCAGCACACGCTTCTTGTTTCTGTCTACCAATCCCCACTTTAACTTTAATTGCTTCATCATATTGTGTCATGTCACATCCGTCCAAGACTTTAGTTCGTACTCAAAAACAGCTCAGTTTTCTAAGGAGACAATGTCTCAAATTTGCAGAGGCAAGGGGGGTTGGAGAAGAAAAGAGAAAGGGGTTCATGAAGAGAGAAGTCACTCCCTCTTTTACCCTTTTACATTGTGGAATGATGCAGAAGGATCAGGAACAAGGAGTGAGGAGAGAGCAGGAAACAGAGGGAAGCTGATGGAATCAGACATTCTGGGTGACTCATCTAAAATCTGTCTGCCTGCTGCCTAAGAGGTAATGCTTTGGGAGAGAGAGATAGCAGTGTGAGAGAGACAGGGAAAAAGAGGAGACAAAAAAGATCTCAACAGCGGGTGAAGGGGAAAAAAAAGCAATTGTGAGACTGTGAGGGGGCAAAAATTCTAGATCAAAGTCAGGATGAGAAAGCCTGAGAGTTTGACGGAACCTAATTGGACTGGGTTAGTGAAAGCATGCAAATGAGAGAGTCAGTGTATTACAGCAAAATGGTAAATCAGTGCGTGAGGGGGCGGCACTTCCACGCTCAACGGTGATTAATGCCACAAAAGCACTCAATCACAAAACTCTAATTCCCGGCAAAGAGAGTTTTCGTCACTCTCTTGCACCCGCCGCATGTCGGAATGATTAGTGGTCAGTCATAATCCGGCAAAATGGCAAACCACCAGTCACCATCAGTGAACTTTAATATGCCATTTATCAAGAAAAGATATCCTCGGAGTCTATGCTTAGCCAGAAATTTACTGTTGCAATCGGTAATTAAAGGATTTTACCGTGCATGTTTGCTTTTTGCCTTCTTTTGTCAGAGTAAAAAAAAAATTAAAAAACAAAAAAAAAACTGGTGAGCTTAAGCAGTAGCAGTGATACTACTGTGTCTTCAGAAGTATGTGTCTTCAGATATTTGTGTGATGAGAGATGCTGATGTTCTGCAGTGAAAGCCTTACATCTTGGAATCCATGTGGCACATCGGTGGTGTATTTGATATATTTAGACCAACTGACATGCACCTCATTCTTTCCACACTGGCACATGAAAACTCATGCCTTCCTTCAAGGAAAGGTTCTTTCTTAGGTATGACTTCCAGATGCCTGCAGGCGCTGCATACATCCGTTCAGTTTTTTTTTTTCCAACTATAGACTCCATGGGAATGGAGAAGAGATGTGCTACAAATACCATATATGAACTGCTCTGGTATCCATATCAACAAGGCAACAAGAAGATTCCTGGTTACAGCTGGTAAAAGATTGTCACTATCCACAGTGAGACGGGTTCCCTAAAAACATATGCTAGACATCATTTACTCCAAAAGGAACAAAAAAAGTCCTTAATCTTTAGAGATATTTTATGTAGTTTGCTGTTACTAAACAAATGTTACATTTGGAGAAAAAAACAAACAAAGAAAAAAACAGCAGAATGCCAGCTGGAGAATAGGTTCACATCTGCAAAGCATGCAGGGTCGGTAGCATCCTGTTGTGTGGGTATCTTGCTACAGGTGGGACTGGTGCACTTAACAAAATATTTAAAATCATGAACAAAGAACATTATGTGCAAATATTTAAGCAATATTTTAAGATCTTCAGCAAGAAAGTTAAAGTGGAGGAACAAATGGGTCCTCAATGTGGAGTCTGTACAGGCAGACAGGCAAATGACTTACAAAATGCAAGACAAGAATTCACAGACATTAATCCCATAGGATATGTGTGGACAGAGCTAAAAATGTTAAAATCATGAACATGGTTTGTGAAATAATTATTATTGTTATTATTATCATCCCTAATGATTGCGTGGCCATTTAAGGGTGCTGTGAAAGCATTCTGAATGCCCACTTAATTCACATTCATTAGTTAAAACAATTAATCAGAGAACACCATGAAATAGGTTGGTTTTGGAGATAGTTCAAGTAATCAACATTCCAAGAAGAGTTATTGTTCATCATTGCAGACAGATTGCCTGCACAATGAATTATGGCAATATATGGTATTGTCAGGTCATTACAGCAATGTTTGTGTTGCAGAGCTATGCAAATGTGCTCTATGAATGGTGTCTCTATATTGCTATGAAAGATCTGTGATTTACCAAAAGAAAATGTGTGGTACAGCCTGGCTCAGCTTATCAGTTTCTACAAGTGTCTTATGCTTAGAAAATAAATATTGGATTATTATTATATGTCCAATATTTATTTAGTCAAAATAAAACTTTGAAATAAAAGATCACTTTTGCAAAGATGTAGCTAAAGCCATGGATTTTCAGTGACCTATTTAAACACATGGCAGATGAAAACAGTCTGGACAAGAAATTTGAGATTTTGTACGATCTTATTCAATGAAGATTGAGCAGAATGACGACTAGAAGACTTGAGTGCTTCCTTAAACTAATTTATGTCACCATAAACATTGCATTTAACACATTTATTTCAATATAACTTTTGAAATGTTGTGATTATAATGACACTAGCAGGGAAAGGACATGGGAAAAGTCTTGCTTATTTGTAAAAGTTGCAAAAAGCCCACAGAAAAAGCATCTATTTTGATTTTATGTTTGATTCCCTGTAATCAAAAATGACATGACACATAAATGACATGAACATGACATATTTTTCCTTTAATGTGCAAGATAATATGTACTTTGTTCTCTGAAAGAGAGTAAATGAAAGTATTAACTAAGCATTGGCGCAAAGAGTTTTTCAAAATATAAAGTTCCATTCAAGACCTCTTGACATCTTCCAAAGAAAATCGATTATGTTTGAGGACCAGCTCTTATTTTTTAAGTTTTCAAAGGTTATGTTGCACACTGTTTTTGAAAGACAGTCTTTTGACTCATTCGTTAATGACCTAACTAAATATATAACTGAATTGCTGAAGCAAAGGATTCATTGTATCTATGTGTGTTGGTGAGAAAAGGAGAAAAACGGAAGGTGTTAGTCAAATCAAAAGGCAGCAAAAAGGAGTCTCTGCCTCTGCTCACCGAAGCGCTTCATGAACCCCATCAATTGGCTACATGCATGTGCCTCAGTGACCCAGTGGGGCTTTATGGTCGCATTTAAGCTGTCCATCTGAGATAGGCTTTCATAATATGGTAAATGAACCAACCAAACAAAAAGCAATCAGATGAAACCATGGCTTCGCTATGGTTTAATTTGAGAATTCCCGCTCGGGGGAAAAGAGCACTCATATTATTCTAACTTAACTGGAGATGTGCAGTTTGGTAGACACAGTTTAACCAAGTGTTAAAGCCAAGAAGGCAACGATCTGTGTAGAATGTCTTATGAGGAAGTGCGCGCATGAATGTGATTCAGCTGGGCACTTTTACTGAACAATAAACAATATGTGAAAACTATATATAAAAAAATATAAAAATATATATATATAACTTGAACTCAACATGGAACAGATCTCCCAGTGATGTGGACACAATTTCAAATTGCAAAGATTAGCAAGTTTGAAGATTATTTTAAGGTTCCATCTCAAATAAATAAAAAAAAAAGTTTTCACAATTAACAGTAGCTCTCGCCTCATTCATAGTTATGACTGGGGAGGAAAATGACAAGGAGGAGACAAAAATAAAGCTCAGGCTATTTTAACAGACTTAAATTTAGCTTTTGCGATTAGCTGTTTTCATCTTCCTAGACAGTAGGAGTTTCAGAATAAGCCCATGTCAGTGAGTAGAATGAAAAGAATAACAATAGGTGAGTCTCCCCCACGGCCTCCACCATGATGTTTTAAAATCAAACAGCATCATCAGCATGAGTTAGAGGCCAGAGAAAGCTCTGAGCTTTTGGCCTACTGCCTCTCTGAACTTTAATTTGAAAGGGGATGGAGTGCCAGACAGAAAGGCTGCCAGTATAATTTCCTGTGGGATGTGACCTTTGGCTTTGGTGGGAGCGGATCACATCTGCCACAGAAATTTTCTTCCCGCTCTTTTAATCTTTTCCTTGTTGTCCTCATAAAATCTTATCTTTCCTGTCTCCAGGTATATTTTTTTTATTACTGTGTTCTACCTGTATGATTCTTATTTTAGTATTTGGAAAAGACACTGTATATTTTGTAAGTTGCATTGGGCCAACTTGCAGCCCTCAAAGGGGACAGGAGTATTTAGAAGACATCTTCGACAAACAACATTTAGAAGACATCTCGCTTGTGTTTGCCAAAGTGAACTGCCGTCGTTCAAACTTCTGTTAGCAGGATGCCGTCACCAGGGAATACAGCAAACTTCCATACAGATAAAAGGCATACATCTTCCAAGGAGGCCCTCCTGGGCCACTTAACAGCCCAAATCCTTCTCAGCTTCATCCTTTCAAATTGTTGAGAGGTCTTCTGTGGGTCTATGCAAGTAATGTCTATGAATGTGTGAATTTTACTGGGAGAGCTGCTCTGACCTTGAGTAAAGAAGTCATTCCTGGAAGTAGATTGGATAAGGGAAAGTACGACAGACATTATGCTTCAGATTCCCAACTTCCATATTAACTGATTACTATCTATTTCTAGCTTCAGAGTAATGTTTTTGAGTCACTATCTGTAGTTTGAGAGAGCATGAAAAGTAATTGCTCTCAGTTATGATGTCCCAACAACTCAGTTTGACAACAGCAGTGCAGAAATGCAGATTGCTTTTTGTTAATAAAGCTAATTATTTTTCAGTATGGCAATAGACTTTATCCTACAGAGGGAAAATGGTCAATATGCAAAATAGCATTGAATGCAGAAATTTAAGCTTTAATTTTATGCTTCACATTCCTTGAAATAATTTAAGAACAAAAATATTCTGGTACCTATATTTTCTTATGCAGCTGAGAATTTACTTTCATCTGAGATGAGAGAGTTTGAACCACTGCTGAACAGTCTGGCTATTTGGAGAATAACATCTCGAGTCCAAACATTTATAATGTTTGTGTGACATTATAAATGTCACACAAACTCTTAAATGTGATTTGATTCACAGACCTCTCAAGGCTGCAGTTACTTTTGTTGCTTGTGAACCTTTTTCTTTTTTTTTTTTTTTTTTTTAATGTATTTTCTTCTAACTTAACTTTTCACAGTTCCAGCACTCTGAAGCGCTTTTTGGCAACAACGTTGAGACATTTACTTTATTTTACTGCTCAATGCTGTTAAAATAATGTCAAACGAATACCTTAAAATATGAGTTTTTTTATTGAGTTAAGGAATTAGCCTTTTTCCTACTTACAGCACACTCTAATTTACAAAGAAGCACCTGTATATTGATTATGTATATGGGTTGGCAATGAACATGTCAGCCAGGCTAGTTCAAACACCTGCAATGGTTTAGACCGGATGAAATCCATCTTGACCCTCTTACCCTCAGCAGGAATGGTGAAGACTTGTTTAGGGATGTAGAGCTTGTCCTCCGCTGTTCTGGCCCAGTCCTTCATCCCTCGCCGTCCCTTCATGGGAAAGTTGATGTCACTTGAAACTGCTGACACTGGCTCTCTTTGTATGGTTATCACTAAAAACAAATCAAACAAAACAAAAAAAAGAGCACAAAACTGCCAGGTGAAAATTGTGAAACGAACGAGTTGATCTTAAAAAGTTATTAGAGCAATGTTAGCAGAGGGTTCAAAACTTTCACGAGCAAAACAGAATAAATAAATGAATAAGTCCGTAATTGGTGTCAAAACAATGTTTTGTTTTTTTCTTTCTTTTTTTTTTCTAACGAAAGGTGAGTTAAGATCTCGTAGACTTACTGAGATTGTTAGTGACTGTCAGGAAACTCTGAAAAGGCTTCTGTGCTTCTCCAATGAAATGAATAAAATCTTCTAATATTCTCATCAGCAAAGCAGCACCGGGAGCGACCTGTGGGTGGAAAGATAAAAAGAAAGACGGAAACGTGAATCCATCATAAGAATCCAAAGCGGCTTTGAGATCATTGCACATCCTTTAACATCAGACAAAAATAACACAAGCTAATATATAATGTATAAAGTAAATACATAATGTAGGAGTCAAACAATTATTTAGTTACCCAATGGGGAAAAGCTAGATTAGGGGATGCACTTTATGAAAACGTGCATCCCCGTTAAGCCTAATAAATGATTCTGGCATCAGTCTCTGCAAAAATCCCATTAATTGTTTTTATAATAGGAGTTGTGTGGGAATTTCGATCCATCCTTTGCCAAATTCTGCTAATTCAGCCACATTATGTAGTCGTCAAGCATCAACATACTTAAAGGTGCATATCTTCATCCACTGTGCCAGCTTAGGGAAGACCCACTACGGTGGATAGGGGTTAAAATTCAAGACAAAAAAAATAAATTAAAAAGATAAATAGGTAATAATACTGAATGAATTCTAAAGTGGATGCTTGTGAAGTGGCTACGTCAAAACAAGAGCGTATAGTCCTCACGACCTCCCAGCAGTGAGAACCGCAACACAGTGAAGGGAGATAATCAAAAATAACAAAATTCATCTCAACAGTTTTCTCAGTGTTTAACATGAAGCACCACCTTTCAGCAGAAGATAAAGTGTAGCCGTCATCAGAGCGAGATTTGCTTGTCAAAGGAAATGTTTGATGAATAGTCGGGTAATCACAGCTCTGACTGGGAGCCGAAATAACCTGAAATATCTGTCTACAGTTTGATGTTGTGAGACTTTATCTGAAAACTTCCTTTAAATTTCCTTTCAGTTTTTGCACAAACAGATGGTACTTAGCTATATTTTCTGTGGCCACAACATAAAACATGCATATTTCAAATAAAATTTTGAACTACACATGTAATAATTAAGTGCTGATGGAGGTACTGTGAGAGTGGGATTCTCAAACTTCCCACTTTGACAGTGGGAAGTTTTTACTGCTTGGCGTAAAAACTTCAGGAAGCGTGTTTTTAGCTCTAGACTGACTAAAAATAGTGATCATGTGGAACAAGTTGTGGGTTGTTTATTGTTTCCAGTTGTCAAGTTAGCACATGTTTACTCAGGGGCATCTGGATGGGCGAATTGCTTAAATTTCACACACGCAAACACACACAGTAATTAATAGGTAGACACTTTACCTGATGTGCGTCCTCCCACTTCTCCAGATTTTCCAAGTCCAACATGTGGCTGACAATCTGGAAGAATTTCTACACACAGGAGTAAAAACGCAGAGTTAATGAGGGAGGACAATTGTCAGATTGCCCACTACTGCAAAATACTCCTCAGATGCACCAGCTGTCAATACTACAGGTATGTTGCACGTCTATCCTTTCTGAAAACTAACAAAAAAACTTTTGCGTCAACAAATCATTACAATTCTTAGCAAAAGTATACCCCCCCTCATTTATATTTAATTTTAAACCCACAAATTTCATTTGAGTGATTCTGTGTGATTATGTGTGACAAACCAACAAGTTGTTTTATAATTTAGAACTAGAAGGAAAACAAACAACAATTTCCAAATTTATGAATCAAAATAAGTTTGGAAATGTATTTGTATTCAGCTTCAAGTAGTCAAGACTCAATCTATTTGGAGCAATTGCAAACTGACAGAAGGTTTGGAATGATGGAAATCTTCCATGGCAGCTTTGGCTGGACGATTCAGGTTGCTGTCTTGCTTGAAAGTGAACATCCAGTTCAATCTGAGGTCTTCTTGATGTTTTCTTCACTGATTTCTGTATATTTCGCTGCCTCTAATCGCCTTTTGTTTCGCTATGACTTCTTTCTTTTAACTTTTCTCTAAATGCCAAATTTGTGTTATAGTTACGCAACATAGGTTCTCCATTCTGAAACTGATCTTTGAGGCTCCTCAAGATTAACTCTGAATCTATGAGTTTCTGTTTTTCCATGGCTTCCATGTTGCTCTGAGATATTCGACACATGCCGCTTTAAACTTTAAACTACCTCAACTTTATCCCTGACCTTTTTATGTTCTTCATGATGCCGCTTGTTCACAACTATTTTTGCACAATTCTCTCTGGTATTTACAGAAGAGCTTCAAATATATTCAGTGACTTTATCTGTTTATTGTGAGACTTCTGGAGGAGACAGTTTTTTTTGTTTTTTTTTTTTGTTGATGGTGGATCTGAGGAAAGGGCTTGAAATACAAAAGATTTTGCAAAACATCTTAAAGGACGTTTGTCCCCATTCCCTTTCACTTCAGTTATGCACTGCTTCGTTTGCTGGCATGTCACACAGAACTGTAGTAATTCATCTGAGTTTTTGATTGAAACTTGATAAAATGTGAAAAGGATCAAGTACCTAAACACATTTGCATATTACAATCAATGACAACTCATTGTTATTCATAACCAATGAAGCAGAAAATACAGGTTCTTCAAGAAACGCAGAGAAGCGTTCGAGGTCGGGCCCACCTGCACGTCGTCGGAAGCTGGGATGTAGGTTGCTCTTTTGAAGGTGTCCGTCACATTTCGCAGGATCTCCGTGGAGAAGAGAAGGTCGCCACTGTAGTAGCTCCTCCTCTGCAAAAGTTCCAGGAGACTCCGTACGATCTGAGACATCCCCTCCCCGGCCAGGGTCCTCTGACCCTTCGCAAGATGCTCTAGCAACTACAATGCATTGAGAAATAGAGATATTTAGGAAAACAGACAGCTTTGCCTTTGTCTTACAAAACAACCATGACACAAATGAAACGCACGTAAAATATGCAAACCAAAGATTTTTCTTTTTTTTAAATGCACCATAATTTTATACTCCATGCCTTAAACACAGCTTGACTTCGGTCAAAACTTGTGATTTGATAGGTTGAAAAAGAGAATCCCCAAAATGGTGAAATAGCCAGGCGATTGAAGAAGAAATAAAATAAAAGTGTTTTAGCAATTTAAAGGTTCAGTTTTGTGGGTGCAGTGACATTTACAGGCAGACACAAACTGAAACAACTAATCACACAGTAGACCCATGCAAGAGTTCTGTTAGCTTCAAGTGTTTTTTCTTTTATTTATTTATTTGTAGAATATTTTAACTTATAAACAGTGGAAAGCAATCGTGCATGTGACATTTAAAGAATCAAATCAAGCCAGACAATGCCAAACGTTAAACATTTTGATAACAAAAATTAAATACAAGTTTTTGAAAATATGCATCATAAGAGAAATTGCTGATCTTTTTTTTTTTTTTGTTTTGTTTTTGTAATACAGGAGTATTTCAAAGTGATTTTATGCAGTAAGCTTTGGATTTTTTATTTTATATATATATATATATATATATATATATATATATTTTTTTTTTTTTTTTTTTTTTTTAGGTCTCTATGATCCAAACATGCAAGAAAGGTGAGATGTGTATAAAATCAGAGAGAGAGAGACACAGACCCGAAAGAACAGATGAAAACAGCTTCACACAAAATGAATAATTAAATTCTGTTAGTAATAAAAGGTTGAAACAGAAGCTAAGAGTGCAAACAGATCTATCACGCATAATCCCTGACCCCCATCTTCTTCCACCATCATGGAGTAGCTTTGAAAAGGTTGAAGTTCACAGAACAGGAAAGGGGTCTCCCTGGTGAACACATTCATTAGCCAAGTTCATTAATTGATAAGTGTGAGTGCAACACCCTGGGAAATCTAATTAGAGATAGTGGAGACTGACGCTGCGAGTAAAGAGATTGCTCGTCTTCTGTTTTGAGAAAACCTGTTAAAAAATGCAATTGATTTAAGGAATAGCACAGCTACAAAGTCAACTTTGAAGTAGAGAAAAACCTTCTTATTTTCTCCCACTTTAACCCAAAAAAACCACAACCTGCTGCAACAAAGCAATTCAAATGATGTAACCTGGACAAATACATGTGTTTTCTTCTCCGTGCCTGGGTTCACGGTGTAAATAAATCAGCAAAGAGCAGCAGTTCTGAGACAAAGAGAATATGTGATGAAAGCTAACTTACAGCTAAATGCAATTGTCTATACTCAAGGGAGACGCATCTGGCGAAGCTCGGAGGACCCCAGAAAGCAACTCCGTTATTGTCCAGCATACATCGACGACTAGCAGATCCTGGAAAAGAGAATTACATTTTTTTTTTGAAGAACACGTCATACAAACTGGAATAAATGTACAACATTTTCTGTAATTATGCCCTGTAAAAAATCCTACAGAACCACAGAAGACATGAACAAGATTGTTTTTTCCTTTTTCAACAATGAAGTATCAGAGCAGCTTTTATCTATATGCTGCCAAATTCTGTCAATTTGAAAAGATGTTCAATATTATTTAACTTCATGAAGTACTCCTTGAATACAGAGGCAGCTATTTGTTTTCATTTTCACAGTTTCATTTGCATATTCATCAATACATTGCTGATCTTGTTATGGCCCAAACTGGAAATGATTTTGACATTCCTAGCCAAAATAAACAAAACACCAGACATTTATTGTTCTTTTTATTATTCAGCTCAATTTTATATCTTTGATCTACAATCAAATGTGATTTTGTCAGATTGAGTCTGGCATGTTTAAATAATAACGACTGTGTGTTCATAGTCAAATGAGTTCACACAGAAGTCCGTGTCCTGCACGCTTTAAAAAAAATGGGCAAACCTCAGTTTGTAAAATGTATCTTCAAATTGCATTGATTAAAGGATGCACAAGCCATAAAGGCCTCAATCAATTTGAAACTTAACATATTTGTTGATTCCATTCTTCAGCTTTCTTTACAGTTATTTAGCAGAATGTGAGCAATTAAAATTGTTGTTCTTGTTTCAGTATCAGTGTTGGAATAATATTTCTGCAGAAGTTAATCTCATGAACTCACTTTGAATCTGTCAGAGGATGCTCACTTGGGCATTCTTCTACTCCGAGTACTACTTTCAGTGACAGACAGGGTTATTCACACCTTTGGTGAAAATATGCTGCAGCATAAATGTTAAAAAAAAAATCCAACCTTCAGTTCTGCTACATAAGAAAAAAAAAAAAAAAACACAGTTAATGGTGTCTCTCATGCCAAGACCTTGTTCAGCCCTTTTTGGCCAGAGGTCGGCACTTGCTCACTTGCTCTTTCTGGTAAAATTTCACAACAGAAAGTGGATTTTGTGAGTGTTCATAAATATGAGTGTTAGTTTGCCCACCATTTTGGATTGTTTCCTTTCTCAGAGACCCAATAGTAACCAAAGTTCAGCTTCCAGGCAGATGCCAGCAGACTTTTTATTAAAAGTTCATCCACCATGATCTTTTATCACAGTGGATATCATGGTGGATTGCAAAAGGAATTTTGCGATCCTTTGTGTTTCATCCCTTTGGTCTTGAGCTCAATGTAATTTTGGGTTCATTTTGCATTCAGTGATTATTTTTGCTCATCCCTATGCTTTTATATTTGCCATGTGTAGTTTTTTCTCCTTCCTTCTCTTTTTGCGTTTTCATACTCTCTTGCCATTCTACGTCAGTGTTTGTACTCCCTGCAAGTACGATCACTGACATCTGACATCTAGTCAGATGTTTAGCTAATTAGACTCACCTGATCACTATTCTGCGAATCACCTTTCCTGGCGTTCTCTCATTAATTTACCATTTATTCAGGAAGCTAGTGTTTTATGTTCTCATGCATGTTTGACATGTGCTATTATAGATTGGATTTTTTTGTTTTGTTTTGCTACATCCATTTCTTTTTATGTATAGTTTTGGACGCTGTATTTTATCAAATCTCTACTTTCCACATTATTTTGCTCACATTTGTAATGACGTATTCTACACGTCTTTACAAAGGGGTGCAAATAAGTCCGACTTACACTGCAAGCACAATCGGCAAACTACAGCTGATTCCCTCTGAAGGCGTGTCACTTACCGATAACATTTGTTGGACACTTGTTGTAGACTGTTTCTCCGGCTGAGGCTCTCTTCCATGACATCGAAAGGAGGTGCTCGTCTTTGCATATCTCATGAGGAGCTGTGGAAGAGAAGAGGGCATCATCAAATGTAAAATGTAGTGAAGTCCAGCAGGCAAATAGAGTCACACTGACTCAACAGCTAATGAAAGAAAAAAAAATACAGTGACAGAAAAGCCCCCCAAAAAAAGAAGATTCAAATCTAAGCTCTGCTACAGCAGCTCCCAATTTTCTCTTGTACGTTTCGCATTGCTCTGTCAGTGACATTGCCCCAGTGCAGTATCTCATTCCCTCTTCGTCTCATCCCCTCTTTTTATTCATTTGTTTCTCCACTTCTTTTCATGACCATAATAAAAAAAAGAAAGAAAATGAAGCGAAGGACGAAGAAGAGAGTCCAAGGGGGAGATGGATGCTGGCAGAGGCAGATGCAGGGAGATGAAGAGGAACAGAGACCAAAAAGCAAAGACAGAGTGAAAATATGTTATGTCCCTTGCAATGTCAATAGACAAGATTCTTGAATTGTGCAGAAGTTGGAGAGATTTCTTGAACAAAAAGCGAGGGGTCACAGTGGAGCTTTAACCTTTGTAGCCCCGCCGGCAGCCCCTCGAAGCTCAAGACAAGAACAGACACACGTGGCACTCAGAAATAGGCGTGAATATTCAAACTGTATCTGTCCAAAAACCGACAAAGCACAGACCGGACTGTTGAGCAAAACTGTCCGGAGAGAGAGAGAAAAAAAAAAAAAAAACAGAGAAGCATAGCGGCGTGAAACAGGCAGGGAGCTGAAACATAAAAACATTTTTAGAGATATGAAAAGTAAAAGGAAACTCAGCAAACTGGCAGGATAAAAATATAAGCATTACAAGCCAGGGCAAAAATGTTAAAAATATGGTAAAGAGAGAGACGAGTCAGAAGATAATGAAAAGACGAGTGCAAATTGAATTGCAGTGGAGGTCAATGGAGGAAGTATGAACTAATGGAAAATACACCTATTTTTTCCTGACAACTATTATCCATGTACTTTAAAGACACTAAGTTTTTTTTATTTATTATCATTATTATTTAAGAGAAAAAGAACCCATCCAGTATGAAAGATTACAGGAGCAATACTGATGAAACTAAAATGTTTGATTCAAGGCTGTTATTCAGGCAAAAACTGTGTTCATAATCTACCTTTTCTACAAAAAAAGCACATTAAAGGAAACTATTAATATGCAGATTCATTGCACAAATAGAGATATATTTAAGACATTTTATTTCTTGTTATTGTGTTGAATACTCTTTCCAGCTAATTATAAAACACCAATTCAGTTCCTTAAAAAAATTACAATAGCTCATATCAAGGTATGTTACTGCTGACCTGCCATACATTCAGCAAATTGCCTATGACAACCTTTACAAAGAGCATAAGGCTCCAATGGCCATTGCTAAATATTCACAAAGTTTGCATGAAAAATAATCACTGAAGAGTTGAGTGGAAGGAAAAGTGGAGTCGAAAAAGGTAGAAAAGTACCAAGAATCAGGCAGAGCGTTATGAAGATTGTAATCCATTCAAAAGTTTGGGGGAAGTTCATGAGGATTGTTGCTGGAGCCATAAATTTGTTTTCCAAATACAAGGTTGTATTTCAAGAATTTATTTGTTGATTATTTTTTGTCTTGCCATAGATGAAAACCCAAAGTACAGTTTCCCAGAAATAAATTAATTAAGCATCTCATAAGTTTATTTAATAATTTGAAATTACTTCTTTGGGTCTTCAATTTTTTTTCTTTCTTTTTTTTTTTTTAAATTCAGTATTCAAAGTTTATGAAAACAAAGACATGTTTAGTTTTCGGTGACTGTAAGGTGTCATCGCAACAAACAGAAACTTTCAATAACACATTGAGTGAAATGCGAGTATACATATTAACTTGAACGGGTTTACAGCAAAACATTATCATTATTGTTAAGATGCATCTGTGCACAGTTTGCCATTTAGCACTCCAACACACACAATCACTGACCGGGGCACTTCTTCTCGTTGCAGGACCGGACCTCCTCTCCTGAACCTTCACAGGGATAGCCTTGTTCTCCGCTCCCCTCACACATCCTGTAGCGCCGCTGCCACCCTGAGTCGCACGTCTTGCTGCACAGACTCCAGTGGTTCCAGCTGCCCCAGTTGCCTCCACCTGACGCACAGACATGTCACCACCAGTAAGTATCAGGAACAGGGCTCGACGTGGAGCATGAAAGTAACGGCGAGAAAATACAATGGCTATTTTGACAGTGACTCATAAAGAAAAAAAAAAAGAAGAAATAGAAAAACAAAATATTTCTCCCTAAAAGCTTCTTGTAAAGAAGAAAAAAACAAACAAAAAAAAAAAAGCAAAAGAGGAGACGATTCAGATTAGGCTGCCAAACCGGAACACATTCACATGTGGAAGGGCATAAGCGTTCCTTCAAAGAACGCAATAATCTGTGTTTACATAATGTTGTTCAAAGGCATGTAAAGTGCTATTTCAGTGTTTTTTTTCTCCACCTTACCACCGCATGAAGGGTTGGCGCATTCCCTGCTTTCCTGATGAAGCCCCTTACACTCTGCCCAGCCATGCACCGAGGGACTGCAGCGCCTTTGCCTCATCTGGGTCCCCGTGTTGCAGGTCACGCTGCATGTTGACCACGCGCCCCACTCCAACCACTGGCCCTCCACTGCACAGCAGGGGGAGAGGTGGGCGAGGAAAGAAAGAGCAGATGGGTGATGGCGAGGAGAAGGAGAGGATATTGAGGAAAAGAGACATGAATTTCATAGAGAGGAGAGCAAATGTGATGCGTAAGGGGGGGAGACAAAGAGAGAAACAGGCCAGAGGATGACAAAGTGAGCAGGCAACAAGAAAATAGTTTCAAGGGTGGAGCACAAATAAATTTTAGGCTGCGGACGCATCCACGGAAAAGCAACACCAGCTGCATCAAACTCCTCCCCATTTATGGAAATGTTAAATATTTTAGTCTGCTCTACGATACAGGGTAAGAACAATTGCTTCGTACGTCGTTTGCAGGGGTTCAGGGAAAGTGCAGTCTCGTTCATGTTTTCTTGATGTCGTTCTGTGAGGCTCTTGACTGTTCGGTTGTGAAGTAGAAATTGATGAACAGTAATACGGGTGAAATACAGTGGTGATATGAAATCTGTATTGTTAAGTAAGTCATGAGAAATAGATTTAAATGAAGAAGTAAGAGATGAAACAAGAAGATTAAACACTGGGCCTCAAAATGTGGTCATCAAAAACATTACACTGGGTGGTGTTACATCAGACTCGACTTTTCCTATTTAGGCGAGCTAAGACTGTTAAAGATATTTTATTTGTTAAATACCAGAATAAGACTTAATATAAATTTTCAGGTTGCATACACTGCTTTTCTAATGTTTTAAAATAATGTATGATAGTCCAGATTATAAGTCCGTTTGTAAGCTACGAAACATCATGGATTTTTCAATCAAATTCAAACAAATTGTGCTATTTTAGCCTGAAGACAATTGTGGATCTGCACAAATGTGATTCTTGCTTGGGCACGGTGTCCAGATGCCTCATGAACCAGAAACAGACGAGCCCTCTAACATTCCTGCTGAATGTACCGACTCGTTTTTTCCTCTTAAACACAATATGTGCAGTAGAGTTTTAATTCAGGACACAAACCACTTCACAGTTTTGGTTTACATAGAATAGGTTGCAAAACTCTGTTAAACATACTTGCATTATTGACTATATATATATATATATATATATATATATATATATATATATATATATATATATATATATATATATAATATATATATATTATATATATATATATTTTTTTTTTTTTTTTTTTTTTTTTTTCCACAAAACACTTGTCTCAAAGTGGTTTATTTTTGACAGATACATGTTTATCTTCAATGTGTTATTGCCTAACATGTAACAGTTGGATATGGAGACATCCATATCCAACTTTAAGGGTGACGCTGGATTTCAAGAGCTTTAAAGTCCACCCATAGTATGTTTTTGTAATTTGAAATTTAATTATAACATGAATGCAAAAGGAACCAAAAATCCAAGATATGTCAATACAAAATGCATGCAAGGTCCTCAGAATTCTGGTGAACTTTTTTTTTTGTTCACATATATTATACTTTCCACATTTATAGTATAAAACAAAACAACATGAAAGGCTTTAAAGTTAGAAGCATTGTTTTCAGTCTGAAAATGACATTTTACGATATTACGTAAAGGGACAATGCAAAACACACATCAGTAAATGTGCAGTTTCCTGCAGAAGGGAAGTGATTGCCAGACCTCCGTCTTGACATTGGGTAATCATGTCTTTGTGAGAATGTTTGTTTTGTTTTGTTTTTTGTTTCACAAAAACTCAGAGCAAGGACAAACTGCACTAAATAGATGGTGTGCCAGATTCAAGTCTGGACAACACTTTCAAGCTTGTTATCCTGCAAAATAAATGCAACAGTTCCAATCAAAGGGAAATTAAAATCATCCATTAAACCATGTCTTTATATTGTCACCAGGAATTGATTATTTTTTATTTTATTTTCAGATTAGCCATTGCATATACCTAACACTTAAAAGTATGTATTTGATATAAACTAATAAGATCTATCATTTAAAAAAGTTACATCACTTGTCTGAGTGACCTATTTTAATTCTACGTCATATTTATTTTATTTTATTTTTTTTATTTTACACTGATTGTGGTTCTGATCAGAAAAAAAACAATTTTATATATAAATATATATATTATACACATGAGTCTGATGTACTTCCTGCAGGAAGACACCCATGATTGTAGTATCTTAGGGTAAAAAGTACATTCCAATAAACTAAACTATACTATGAACTGTGAAATCATTACACAATTTCCTCAAGATGGGTATACATTTATATTTAAATTTTTCATTGTAAACATCCTTTAAAAAAATATTTTTTACACTTAAAGGTAGAAAACAGAAAAGAAAAGCAGACAAGTAAAAAGCTAAAAAGCAGCAAAGACACAAAATAAAAGCTCAGTACCCTAATATCAAGAGTAGCCTTGGATACATAGGACAGATTTTTAAAAGTAACTCAAAGGACAGAAAAAAGACCAGAGGCCTTTTGTAATGCAGTAAGGGATCTACTGGTGAAGCATAAATTCTACAGACTTTCTTGGTTCTGTCAACTGGATAACAAGACAGGCGTAATTAACAGCAAGCAGCAGCATGCAGACTGCTGAGGCACAGCTACGCTCTGCTGCAATGACAGCATGAATGTGTTTTTGAAGGAAACAGTAAAAAAGAGTGTTTTTCTGCGTCCTTGCCACAGAAACTTCAGAAATTAGCCAATTAAATCATCTGACCTATGAAGACAAAGAATATAAAGAAAAAGAAACATGTTTCTACCTGATAATGAGTAGGAACGTATTACTAATTATTACTTGAAGAAGAAGAAGAAGAAAGGAACAATACTTCACTAACTGTAAACAGAACAAAAAAAAAACAAAAGGAGGATTGTTGCACACTCTTGCAAGATAAAAGTCTCACAGTTCCCCAAGATGGTTAATGTCTGGAGAGACAATGGATAGAAATACCTCAAGCCCTAATTGGGAGACCAGGCCAGCGACAAAACAAATACTTAAAGCTGAACTATGACTCAAAGACAATAGCTCATTTCGGAAAGTAGTTCCATCATAAACCCAAAAAGACAAGTCCATCTGGCTGCTCATAAGTCACAAATCTAGCTTCCCATGTCCCATGGGACCATAGACTTTCTGAAATAAAAGTCGCCATTGCGGAACCACAGGAAACTCAGACAAAAAAATCTATACTACCGTTATTTTAATATGCACAACATTTAAGTTTCTTTTGCTTCTGATGCTTCCTTGGTTTTGTCCTGTTTGTCACTTCTACTTAAAATACTAAAAGTCAGCTTTGAGCAGGAAAGAATACATTCAAAAATGACCAGTGTCTCATCACTGCATCCCGATTCTCACTACTGGACTGTCACTACCTGCTTGGGAGCTCGGTGAATACTATTGCAAGGTACTTCACATGAGATATTGCTTTCCAAAACGACTTGAGTTCAAAAACATGGCGTTCGGGTTCGGCTGCTTAGTGCCTGTAAATATTAACGTGCAAACGAATGCAATCCATCAAAGTTTCATTTCTGCAATCAGTTGGGGTAAAACATCTTATTCTGGTGTTCAGCATTTCAAAGTACAGTTGCCTTAAACTCCCAAGCGCAAGCTGAAGCTGTTGTGACATAGACGCAAATACACAAACTCCCCTAAGGCCTTGCGAGGAAACGCACACACTTTCTACCAAACTTCACTTCACATCAACTGTTCGGGTAACCGCGAGGCAGAAAAACAAGCCGGGGGACCTACTTTAAATTATAACATTAGCCTCTCCCTATTTAAAATAAAAAATAAAATATCAACTTTATCGCCTGTTTTTGCACCATCAGTGACAGTTTTGTTTCATGAGGAGTGACCTTAGAAAACCTCCGCTTTGAAAAGCACCAAAAAGGAGGGAAAAACAAAGTTTAGCCCCGGAACATTGGGCGGAAAATTATAATAAAGCTCTATCTCAGATTCAGGCTTCACCAGCATTCATGTAAGAGTGGAAAATGACAGGGTCTTCTTAGTATTCATCTTTCCAAATAAGAAGCACTTATGCTGTGATAATTTCTAAGGTTTTAGGCGATTACAGAACTGAGCAAACACTCTCTCGCTCGGACTCAAATCAATTCAAGAAAAATAAAAGACTATTAGTTAGAAAGGAAACACCACTCTTCTTAAACTGTCTGATGTTTTATTATCTGTGCATCCATTAACAACTTTATTCCAGCTCAGAATCCATTTGTCTGACAACACAGAAAAGCCAGAGCAATTGAAATCCCGAAATTGAATTTTCTTTTGTAATGGAAATCATTTTAGACACAGTCCGACGGAGGAAAAATTAAAGCACGAGTGGAAACAAAAGAATACTCTGCAATCAAAAATTGTTGAAAAGTAACACTTACCTTTGGTGCTACTTTTTAATCTGAAACTGTATCTGCCATGTTGCTTGGGGGGGGGGGGGGGGGGGATCAGGGATTTATGTTCAAATCTTGCTCCACCCATTATTAGGAGACTTTTTGAATTAAGACTTTATCTCAAACATGGCCAGGTTCTATTCCACTCCAGGGTGATAAAGACATTTCAGCTGGACAATCTTAGACAGACTGGAACAAAGGCTGGCGGCACCCAGTAGAATTAGAAACAGCTGCACTCTTAACTTATTGCAATTTTTTTCTTTTTGTTTTTCCACAGGAAATGGGCTTAATGGATAATCTAAGAGCAGAAAAGAGTGTTGAGCCTCAACTGGTGAGAAAACTGAACCAAACCAACCACTGAACAGTGATGGAGATGGAGATGGAACTGGAAAGTATAGTAAGTATGAAATCAGTTTAGAAACCTTTAAAACAGTGAACAAAAAAAACCTCACATGAATTAATTTTCAAACTTACACTTATCCAATGTAAGTACTTAACCGAAGCAATCTCTTCATCTTACAATGTGTTTCTTTATTAAAGCGTAATAGCTGAGTCGAAGAACATTGAAAAGAATTGTAAGGAATTTTACCAATTAGAAAAAAATTTGTAATCTCGGAGGTAGAAAGAATGAAAAGGACAATCAAAGGGACTTTTCATAAAAGTTTGAAACAGTTTATGAAACATAATATTAGATATGAAAAAATATCTTAACCGTAAAGTGGACACTTTTGTCAAGGTGGCTATGATGGAAAAACACAACATATTAATTCAAACACTTGCAAATGTAAGGCTTACGACCAGACGACATGAAATGCTTGGTTAATGCGACAACAAAGACATGCGTAAGCAGAAGAAGCAAGAGTCTGGCTGTAGTAGGTTAAATGAGGATGGTACTAACCAGGACAAACGGCTATGTTGCAGGGTTTGGTCTGAATGTCGGGCTGGCCGCAAGGCTTCACCCCACCTCCATCCATGCACTTCCTGGTACGTGTTCTGGAGCCCCGCCCACAGGTAACAGAGCACAGACTCCATGACGACCACTCCTCCCATTGCCCATGCACTGCAAACACCCACGAACATGACGCACGGACACAGAGATGGGGGAACGAGGAATGAGCAAGGTAGAAAATAAAGGGCAAAAAAGGATGGAGCATTCCGGGTCAGGCAAAAGGATCGGGGAACGGGAGAAAGAAGAGATCTTATGAGCATGAACACATTCCCTAAGACAGGTGGCTGTCTCACTTCCAGGCTGAAATCAAATTACAAAGTAAAAGGCACAGCGTAGGGCTGCACACCGAGTTACTCCATAAATAAAAATGAAGGTCAGGGATAGGCAATGGTATTTGAAGTCATGCAGGCAGGTATGCAACTCCAATTAAGACAAGGGAATAGACGAGTCGTTTGCTTCTAAAATTAAATGAACTTCAAGGTTTCTCACAGAAAACTTGCGAAGCCAGGTGATCAAGGCACTCAGCAGTCAATCAGCTGTCTTTTGAGTTAAAGAAATGTTCAAAGTTGGCAGGGAATTTTATATCATTTGTAAAATTTGTGTTACTGGAAGATTAGTATCTGAACATAAACTATAACTCTTTAAATAATGCATTCATATTTTAAAAAATTGAAGAAAAAATAAACACACCTTAATCAATGCTATAGAGTGGGCACAAGTAAAGCCTGGTGGCACACATTACACTGGGGGAAACCCAGAACTTCTTGCATATGATCTAAAATCTTACATTTTTGTTTCATCTATCTAATACGCTAAACAAACAATACACCTTCAAGAAGTGTGCTGTGCTACTTTGTGGCTTGTGACAAACTACTTGCAGAGCATCATAACATAATGATTTTCCAACTGAACAAAATATCCAAAACACACTTTTTACTCTTTTATTTGTGAAAAATATATACTTTGAAAACCATGTGTAATTTTCTTTTAATTGAGAAACTATGCACTGCTTTTTATAAAAAATAAAAATAAAAAATAAAAAAGCAATATAGTTTATGGTTACACTATGACAAAATGAAAAAACCATCAGTCACTAAATGCATTTGCAAATCATGCATTAGAGTTTTACACACCAAACTTAATGTAAATAAATGGTGGAAAAAAAGGAGATAATCTTTTGCAACAACATAAGGCAAAAACAGAGGACAGATGCGGAACTGAGTTAATATAACAAATAAGAAGAAACATTAAAACATCGAGGCTCATAGTTTGGGCCATTGAGGAATCTAGAAACTGAGGGCATGAAGACGGATTAGAACATTCTGAAATATTCAGGGAGAAACGTAAGGAAAAAGCCCTTGGATGAGAGGAAGTCCGGGAAAAAAAGGGGTGAGCATTTGAAGAGATGCTGGAAAGAGAGAGAGTGCGAGCAAAATAAAGGAGGATGTAGAAACGAGGAGGGCCAAAAGGAGGGTGAACAACCAAGCTGGAGAAACTTAGAGACAGGGGATGAAGATTGCAGCTTCTATGTTGAGCAAAGCTAAATAAATCATTGCAATAAATAATTAAAGCCACTCTGTGAAGGAATGCTCTGAGGAGCAGCAGTAGAAAGCAGATAGAGAGAGGGAAGATAGTGGGATTTAAAAAGTGTGGGGAGATGTAGAGCTGGTAAATAGTGAGATGTCCTTAAATTCAGGAAAAAAAATACGTGTTATCAATGTATGTGCTGCTTTTCCAAGAGACTTGATGGTGCAAAAGTTATGGATAACTTAAGAGCATTTGAGATTTTCGTAATCATTTAATGCAATGCATATTTATCAAATTTTACTTTGGGACCTGTTTTGATCTAGAACTGGTTGTACCAGCATATTTTGGTAAATATAAATACTGAGCCAGCTTTCATGGCGTATGTTTGTTTTGCGAGCCTCAAGCATTCAAACCTATTGAAACATTTATGTAGGATCAGATTTAGCCTGGTTGTACAGGGCCATGAGAAAACATTTGCCTCTGACATATTTCAAGTTTTTGCCTTTTTTTCATAGTTAAATCCTTGAGATACACAAACAAATTTTTTATGTCAGAAAAGATTGGTTGAATTTTGACGTGGCACCTGCCGGCAAAAATACTGCCAGAGCTGTAAGATCTAGAAATCTCCCGAGTCGAAGCAATTCAGCAACATGAAGTATTGCTAAAAATCTCAAGAGGCAGAATATTGTTAGATGAACTGACATCAGTCTGAAGAGGGTTTCTAAGCAGTTTCTAAGGGGACACCAAAAGTAAAATGGCTTTATCCACATACGGGGAAAACAAAAACATACACAATAGTAAGAATCTTTCCAAAAGCATTGATTACTCATCCAGGATATTTCAATAGGACTACTGACACCTGAATCACTTTAGGCCAAATACAAAAAGAAATTCTGAACATAAATGAAAATAACTGCGAACAAAAAAGAGCACAAAGATGTGTCTAATATTTGCCGAAAACATCTTGATACCAAAGAAAACAAATGTGATGTGGGGTGGTTTTGGTTGTGCGGGATCTGGACAGCTCGTTGTATTTGATGGAAGGATGAATTTAAGGCATCAGTTTGTCCTGAGAAGCTCATCACAACTTCAATGATGACAATATTTCAAAGAGCACTCAGAAGTTCAACTGAGAGAGTTGGAAGAGGAAATCCAAATAAATTTGCTAAACCAAATGAGACTTACTTTCACACTATTTTAAAACCTGTGTTATGATAATGGTCAATATTATGTGTTACCAACTGGCACAGTTGGTAGAACCTTCTCGCAATAAGGTCCTGGGTTTGATTCCTGGCCCGGAGACTTTCTGCATGGTAGTGGCATGTTCTCCCTGTGCATGTGTGGGTTCTCTCCGGGTACTCCGGCTTCCTCCCACAGTCCAAAAAGATGATTAATTGGTCTTTCTAAATTCTAAATTCTCCCTAGGTGTGAGCGTGTATGTGTGAGTGGAGTGGTTGTTTGTCCTGTCTGTCTCTGTGTTGCCCTGTGACAGACCGGCGACCTGTCCAGGGTGACCCCGCCTCTCGCCTGGAATTTCTTGCTGGAGATAGGCACCAGCACGCCTCCCGACCCCACAATGGACAAGGGTGATATATACATATCCATTCATTGTCTTACATATACACAGAAAAAATAAAGGCTAATCATAACCGATATATAACAGTAGTCCGTATTCCGCTTGTACAGCAGCTGTTAAGTATGATCACTAATTTACTTCTCAAGAAAATAACAACATCCTTTTCCCTCTCTTACCCAACTTTAAGATGAGCATACCTTAATTAGACACAGTAATTTTAGTCTTACAACAGATTTACACACCGGCTGGATATTTTTGTTTCACTATTTTCAAGGGGAGCAGGCAATATTATACATTTAATGTGTCAATGCTCCTTTATGTACATTTGCATGCAATCATAAATCTGTAATGAGTTCATTGTTGCATCCTTGGCTGCACTCTCGGCCCATCGATGGGATGATTACTAGAAGTGTGGCGCTATACCATTTGACTGTGCACTGACCCAAATGGACCGTACTCATGATATGCTATTGCTGCACCAATGTTTTAAATGCCACTGGATCCATGGTAAATGAGCTGTAGCGTAATACAATGTGAGCTGAAGTACTACCCCGCTTGCATGCTTTGGGCCATGTAAACCGTATATTCAATCACACTCGCTAAAAAAGAGAAAGGAAAATAAAAAAGTTAATTTGCCAAACCAATTACTGCCGAGTTTCTTTTGTCAAGAGAGACTATTACTTAAAACTTATCATGAGCAGCCCATTAATTTAGAAGTTTTTTCCCATGAAAGGCTGAGAGAAGAAAATGTGTATTTTCCACTCCATTGACTTTTTTTGTCCAAAGTACTTTTCCTTAATGTTTGCACACTTCTGCAGACAATAAATAGTACTTACTCTCACGATACTTTTGGGCGAAAGGGCAACAAACTCTCCACATCTCAACAAACTCAGCAAAGGACGACAATCACAACTGTTTTGAAAGATGTTTAATGTTTTCAGAGAAGGAAATACAGGCTTTAGTTGTATAAATAGTCCTTATTACTACCTGGAAAAAAAAGAAAAAAAAAAAAAGCTGCTTGTTATGTTAAATCGATGAATTCTAACAACTTTGTTTCCTTTCAGTTTAAGTTTTGGATTTCTATCCTTTAGTTGGAATTTCATCAGTTGTTGACTAAGTTTTGGAATTGAGTTGCTTGGTCATATCATATTACTTGGTTAACTTTTGGAAAACATTTCTGTCTAAAAATAAAAAACAAACAAACAAAAAAGAAAGGGCTGAGTTCTAATTTGCTGTTGCCTGCAGTCAGTAGCTTGTGAAAATGTTGGACTGGGCAACAGGTTCTTTAAGAATGTGTAATCAGTCAAGAATACTGCAATCCCGGTCTGACCAGTCCACAGGCGCTGATTTTCATGCTTGCTGCAATCTTCAATAAAAAGCACCAAAACCTCCTCTTTCTCTTGTAGAATGAAGTTTTCATGGATCTCGGGCAAAAATCAGAATTGACAAATCTAGTTTTTCGTTGAACTACATGTGATTAAAAGCATCCCAGACTCCTCACAAAACTGAAATATTGCATCTGCTGTGCAGAACATTTGAAACAACATCATATATTGTCTTGAGTTTTACTCAAGACAATATATGATGTTGTTTTTCTTACGACTGCCCAATGCATACACCCCATCACTTTTAACTGGTTGTGTAAATTAACTAGGTTAATTTAATTTTGCCTTGCAGAGCCCTCAAGCCTCATCAGCCTGGGAAGAAAGCTATGTATATCTCCTGTATCTTAAAATGCCACTGAGATTCTACGCAAGCTAAAGTGTAGCAACTTACATTATTAATTAGTTTGCATCTGTATACATTCCATGTATATTTATGCCTCTTTCAAGAGCGTTTTGTTGTCAGCGTGGAATAGGTAAACAAACGTAGAAATTAACTCCAAACACTTTTTGGAATAGTAGTAAAAGTCAAATACAAGTTGACTGAGCACTTTTGATATCATCCCAACAATCCTACTTACTTAATATTGGTGCAATCCTATTCTGGCAGTCCCATGAGTGCCAATAAAGCCCTCCACAACCATGTCAGAAAACATCAGAGGAACCGAGAGCAAAATGAAATAATAAACGGAAGAAAACACAGCAACCAATATCCCATCAAAGGAGCAGCTAAGGATATTACTATCGACACGGAATGGAAAATGAGGTGCTTAGACATACAAATCGGCCTGGTAAATTTGCATAAAGACAAGATTAGCATATGCACTGACAAGGAAGGCAAATTTTCCCTTTCGCTTTTCATGGGGAGAGGAGGACTGGATATGTAAACAGTCAACACTCGAATCCTATGTGAAACTTAAAATGATGCAAAAATAAGACGTCTTGAAAACCCAAACTAAAATACAAGGAAACCTGCTCGGCCAAAATTAAGCTTATCTAGAAATAGGAAAACAGATCAATTTCAGTCTTTGTATGTACACAATGCTTTTCGTATTCAGAATATTGCTAGCAATATGTAGCACACTGTGAAAAGATCATAATTGGTTTAAAAAAAATGTCAAAAGCAGTAAATGCTGAAATATTCAGAAAAATACAATTAAGTTGTTTCATTCTTTTTTTTTTTTTTTTAGGTATTTGTCCTTTACCTTCTTTCCCCCAGGAATTTATAAAGTTTACCTTAGATTGCAGTTTCTCAACACTGAGGGGTGAAGTCAAGATATGTAAACAAGTTAGAGTTTTGCAAAACAATCACAAATAGACAAGATTGTCTAAGGAACAGCCATGATTAACAACACTGGAGAGAAACATGCAAGTATGGTAAAACAACAAAGGTTGCTCTGCGGCCTCATCAAGATGTAAGTTTCGACTGCAATCAGCCCAATCAAAAAAGTGCTGGACTGGAAGCCCTCCAGCCTTTCATCTGACAAAAACCAATGTATGCTGGTAATCAAAGAGAAGCAGAATTGACCTCGTTATTAGTGCTGTCAGTCTATCCAAAATGAAACTGATTACACCTAAACTCAAACAAAGAAAGTAGCTGCTGTTGTATTTTTGAACATTTTAAAATTGCCTAAACTCTGAAGTTTAGGCAATCAGTCCATCACCAATCAACAATTCTTGTCTATGGATGTGTGGCCGTTTTGGCTGCTCTTGAAATCATAGAAAATGAGGGCTGTGTTTAGAGTGATAGTGCTGAGGACTTTCTCTAAATTTAGGGGCAATGCACTGTTTACTTCAGAGAAGTGCTAGGTCTATTGGAGCAGTTGACATAAGGTTAAGCAGTCAGTCTCTATATGTCTGAACTTCCCAACAAACTAAACTAAAAAGGGTTTGGACATCACGTTTACCTTTTAACCAGAATCAGGTGCATTTCTAGCTATATCAACCCAAGATGCATATTGCACTATACTACTTTCATACTGAACACCAATGGTTCAGTATGCCAACTGACAACAACAGTCTTTGGCATGGATGTGTTAAGAGGACTCAAATTGATCTATTTTCAGCATTAGTGAAGAAGCTGACCGGAGTAAAAATATCACTTGAAAAAATAACTCAAAAGGAAATATCAACATTTTGAGATGTGCTGCATTTCACTGGCTGAGTGCAAGATTGAGGGACATTTTCAGCAGGTAACATGACTTCTCAAAGTAAGAGCACTGTACAATGTCAGGAAATTTACCAATTAAGAAAATGCAAAGAAAAAGCACAAAACCCCCCCAAAAATATTAGGTTCCAACAGGGCGCAGCCAAGATGTTTGTTTGCTGTACCTGTACTTATGATTCCAGGTTCACCAGGACAGGAAACCGTATTGTTGCACATGCGCGTTTCCCGCAGAGCACCACTGCAAAGCGTGCCATAAGGAGAGGAGACACAGGACCGCGTCCTCACTTGCCAGCCTTGCCCACACGTCAGAGAACACACACTCCACGGCGACCACTCCTCAGCCGCCGGATCACCTAAGGAGGGAGATGTTTAGGTTGAAAGACTATCACATAGAGTCCAAGTCAAAAGCAATAAAACGCCTGCATTTCTGTCAAATGGCATCCATCTGAGTAATCAAGCTCAAGAACAGAAGAACATGTCCAATATTCTCAGGGGCTTGGTGTTACTTAGACAAGTGACTGGGGGATAGAAAAGCCAAGAAACAGATCTCCCTTAAGTGGAAAAGAGACTTTGCATTCACAAGAGAGTACTGGAAATTGCTTGATCGAAAGGCTATACGATTTTATAGGAAAAGAAGAAATATGGTTAAAATATTGGGTATAGTGCATTTTTTAAGAAGGAATAAGGATTTTTTTCTTCAATCTTATGCTCATGATACAGTTAAGTTTAAAATTTTATGACTGCAGAAAAAAAAAATGTCTCCGTTACTCGGGCTATTTATCTCACTTGCTTAACACCCACTCTGTTAACAGGGGCTGCCAATCAATTGCAATATTTTATTGTGATAAATCACATATTGTCCATCGTTTGTGATTAATTGCAGATTTCAAAAAAAACATAGAATATGCTCATAATATTCCTATGAGCATTGAAACAACAGAAATGATGAAAAAATAAAACAACAAAAAAACATATTTCAGATGGGATTTGAAAAAGAAAACAAAGAACAGTGCAAAAAATTCAAGTTATTTTTGTGCTATTATCACATTTTGTATTTGTATTTGGGCTCCTAAAAACCAAACAAACAAAAAGAAAAGAATCTGAATTTACAGAGGAAACTGATCCAAAAAGTCATGGCAAGTTTTCCTGAGGAAGATTTATTAGAAAGAGCTTATTGAAACCAAAAATCATAAAAGTCTGCAGAGCTTATTTACATCAAGCTCAAAAATGTTTTAGACAGATAGATTTTTACGCTGCTGTTTAGAGGAAATCTTTTTTGATTCAGGACAGACGTAGCATAACCTGGGACTATTTCTTGTGTCTGATGTTTTTGCATTTAATTATTTTCATGATTTTTTTTCACTGGTTTTGTTGTTGCTTTAGCAATGGATAACCGATCAATTAAGGAAGCAAATTATGTTTTGCCATGTTTTTTTGTCTACAACAACAAAAGAATTTTGGGTGTCTTTCCATTTCTTCTCCCTGTCAACAGTGAGCACCACTTACAGAATAGAGAGAGTGGACAGCAGGGGAGAGACAGAGAGAGACTGAAGCTGTTTTCAGAGATTACATTTTAATTATCAGTCCCATAGAAAAACAACTGAAACAGAGCAGGAATAACATTCAAACTGCAGCACAGAACCTGAAGTATGAAAGCCTGTGCTTTAACTGTGTGTAAAAAAGAAATAAAGAAAAAAAAAAAACAAGGATAAACCCAATTTTACTTTTGTGGCTAACGCTTCAGCTTTAGGAGCCATACATGTTATATTTTAAAATCTAGATTACTTCCCCTGGCATTTTTCTTTTACCTGTTAAACACGACTGACTTCTGAAAAAAATGAAATAAAATAAATGGACAACACAACCTGGATTCACATGGAGTCTGGTAGCATTGTTACTGGATCCCTGTCTGAAGAAAGATTTTAATAGTATCATGACTAGACAAAAGATAAAGGTCACCACTGCAGATAAGCCTGTCGAGGAAAATAAATCCTATATAAGCAGTCTGATGAATAAAAATAAATACATTTTGAATCTTAATTAATAGAAAAACATATTTAGCACCCATACAAGTCGAAGTGCTCGCCCTTGATATCCAATTCTCCAGCAAGCAGAGACGAGGGTCCCATTGTTCCCACCCAGCTATGCCCTTGAAATCAACAATTGAACACAACTGTAAATTTCCCCCCCTTTTAAATTGTTTATGAGCTTCGTGTCCTTTGATCAGGGCGTCATCACACGGCAGAGGAGGAAATCGAATTAATTGCATGTCCGTTAATCGCATTACATCTTCATTAACATGCCGTGAGTCAGGGCTTAAGCACATCACACGTGCCTAGAGGAATGGAAGAGAGGGGAGAAGCAAGGAAGAGCAGGAGGGGAGAGCAGTTGAGAAGGACAAGATGCAAACGGGGGTTTCCCTCTCCGTAGGCTCTCCCTCCTCAGCACAGCGGTAGCTTTTTGAAATGATTGTCTCCATGAGTCCTAGCCCAGGTGAGTATTGAATTCTTTAAGATAGAAAGCGTTAGTCTTTCGGTAAATGCTAGAAGTCTCAACATGAACTACATATAGTGCCTTGCAAATGTATTCAAACATCTTGAAATTTTCAGTATTTTGTCATAACTACAAGCTATATTGTAATTCATCGGGATGGTATCCAATACACCAACATAAATTTGTGCCCATCTGAGAAGTGGAAGAGAAATGACACACAGTTGCTGCGTGGGAAGTATTATGTATTTTCCTGTCACTTTGTGTCATTTTCTAGCACAATAACGCAACTATGCAACCTTCAGTTGTTATAAAAATGCTGTTTCTGGAGGAGCTCAGTGAGAGACAGAGATGCTTCTGAAAATGACAACCTCTCTGTGTCAATTAAACATACTTTTCATTAAGCATTTGTTTCTCTTTTTTTTAAATATGGACCGATGTAGTATTCTAATGTTAATATGCTAAAGTTCTAATTAGCTGTAAATGGAAAATCACCATTAATAACCAAAGTAAAGGCTTTCATGAATCCATCTGTCTGTAATTAATACATGCAACGTCTTTCACTTAGTGATGAAGTTCCTAAAACAAATGGGTTTCGAAAATATTCAGAGTTTTTGAATAGGTCTGTAATTAATCACGGGTGGTTTCTTTAAGTCGTCCCACTGTGCAAGGACATAAAGATCTGAAACTTTTCAGGTACACGACAACTTTCGGAGGTCAAGTTGTTCTTCATTTTCTCCAGGAAGTGAAGACTACCTCACACTCCTAACACTCACCTGTTTGTGCCTGAAACACACCTGGCAGGTCAGCTGATCGTGGCCTTTGGGTCTTCACCTTCAGGTCGTCATCGTATGGGTCTGAAACAAGCAAGAAGGATAAGCTATTAATTTCGAGTTTTTCGTAAGCTCAAAATGTGCCTTTTGAGGACATTTTTCATGTATTGATCAAGTACTCCAGGTATGTAACAGTGTTTTGTATGTACTAACTCAGCTCAATGTGTACTGGAAGCCAATAATAGTTTTAATGCTTTGGTGAATAGGAGCTCTGCATCCTCCACTTCCATTTTTACACATTCATGGAGGTCAAAATAGGCAAGTTTCGGTACATCCAAATCACGACTTGGCAAAATAAAAATACAAACGCCTACATTTCCTTGGCTTGCTCTTCGTAGCAGAAAATTAATGGGGCGTGCTGATGCAGTTTGACGCATAACATTCAGACTTATAAAAACAGAATGTCAAATCTTCACAATTACCAAAATCCAGAGAAAAAGTGATTTTGAAGAACTCCTCGACTTTGAAAAACAACATGAAAGGCACAGCAGCCCTGTGATGCTTCTCTGCATCAAACACGAAATGATGTAAAACTTCACAAATTCAAACACTAAAATAAATAAACAGGCTCAATAGCCATGACGGAGCTTTGGTTGGTTATTTTAGGAACATGATGTAAGTGTTGAGCATGTATGGAGGGAATGTGCTTCCTGAAAAGTATTGTAAATAGTGCAGAAGTCTGTTTTATCTCAGTCGGTACGAACATATAGTTGCATGAGCCAAGGCTGTTGTGTGAGGTGCAAATTGATTTGTAGGCTTAGTTTCACCAGCACAAGACTTAATCAACTCCCACAGCAGGGGAAACAATCCATGATTGGGTAGATCTTCTTCAGTTTGCCGCTTCTTGCCAGTGGGGCATTTAGCATAAGTTATATTCATAAAAACAAACAAACAAAAAAAAAAGGAGCAAAGAAAACGGATCAATGTCTGAGGTACATGATTCACATGTGATGCCAGTTTATGTATTAGACTACACTGCGCATAAATGATTGTCAATCAAAATGTTTAGCATTAACCTAGATCAGGAGGATGAACTAAGGTAAAAGATGAACATGATTAAAATACTACAACAATGATCTGCAAATTAACACTCAGAAAATATGCTGTACCACTTTTTTGCTGTTAAAGGTAAAAAATGTACTGTAATTCTATTACACTGAGCTTTGAAGATTTTTTTTTACTCCCTGCTTTCCCATCTTTCTCAATGTTCAATTTTTTTTCAGAAAATATCGTTTTATATCATTAGTTTTTTGTTTATGAAGCTCCTAAGTGCATTTTTGTTTGTTTGTTTGTTTTAAGGTGGAAGCCCTTGTCGCTTAGGAGAGAAAAGAGTTCAGTGAAGCATCGCTGGCGAGTAACGTCTCACATAAAATGTCCAGCGAGAGCCACTTCTCTATCTTATTGTTTTTCTTTGCCCATTGTTTCTCTCTCTTTGTCTCTGCTGCACAGAGGAGGAGTTAGATGGATGCCAGAGCAGAGTTCACGACGACCGAAATGGGAGATCAATATTTACAAACCCGTTTGAGCGTTGACCTTTCACAAACTCCACCATACTGTTTAATGTTCTGGCCTGCACTTTAATGGACACATCATCACGCACTTCATCAAGCTGTCCTGCCCCCTCATACGCCTACTTTATGCACTTGAGATATATTTTTTTTCCCTACAATCTCAAGGGGAGTTTATCCTTGGGATGTTTTGCTTGGAGTGCAGTAATAATTTTGTCAAAGCCAACTGGAGTATGACTGAAGAAAAGAAGAAAAAACGTATTTCTGCTTTAAGAAATGAAGTGATCACATCCTCTTAAGCTGTAGGCACTAAGTTGATTGAAAAAGCCTATTAATATGTTGAAGTGAATGTAAATCTGAGTGAGCTCAACATATGAATTATGAATCTGCCTTAATACAGGTGTTTTAAAGAAGCAAGCTTGATGCTAAAGGAGGTGTAATTAAATCAAGCACCTCTAATCCTGTTTCCTTTACCCCCCTATTCTGGTAATCGTCTGGGAATGCAGCTATTGATGCAGTTGCATTGAATTAAGGGCGAAGAGTTAATGTAATAATGTGGGTGTTTTCTGGCTAAATATGTCTCTTCAGCTTGGGCACAGAATCTTTAAATGACTCTCAAGAGCTCCTCCGGTAATTCCAGGGTGTCAGTAAACATACTGTAAGTTATTACAGAAGTGCGTTTCCACTTGGCAGGGTGCAATCGCAAATGTGTTTTCCGATACTTTTGGAGAAGACTTTAATCTAATTTTGAAGAAGATTGTAGGTCAGATTTAAAAGTACAAAGCTGTGACAAAAGGGTATGTTTTCCCCCTATTTTTGCTTTACTTTTCACCAATGTTAACCTCAAAGATACGCTTGCTAAAAATAAAATGCAGTTTTCAAATTATTATTGTTTTATTAAGGACAAAACATCACCCAAACCAGCTTGATCTTGTCTCAAAAGGTGATTGCTTTGGGTTATCATCCTCCATAAATTTGCATTGATATCACAAGGTTATAGTGATTGATAGTGACTGATTCAGAACTATTAGGTCAGGTGGATTTTAAAATAATCGTTTTTATTATTTCTACATTTTATGGAACATATAATTTAGCATTTTTATTTAAAATATCAATTTGTTATCACCTATGCTTTATGTTGTTCTTTTAATCTACATGATGTGACAGCCCAACAATTTTAAAGTCCAGATATTTTCTTTTGCGCTTTTCCTTTTTGCCAGATGACCTTCAACAAAAGTAACCATGTTAATCAAACACAAATGAAAAATAAATCACTCTGCTGCTCTAACCCTTGATTTATGGCTGTGCAGAAAGAGCAGAAATCATTCCTTGAAATTTAATAGTTTGCTGGGTCTTTCGTTAATAATCACTGGTTATTTTCAGTAAGATGGAATTCATTACTGAAAAATCACAGCGCTTCTAAAAGCATTCTTGCCTGCCTTCTTTTCTCCACAGCGCTTTCGACTTCATCGCGGTGTTAAAAGAGGGGAGACCCTCGAAAATCAAAAGCAAAATAAATCCAAACCGATACACGACCCAATCACCAAAGCTTGAATATATATGAGCAGGACACACATATCCTGTGATCCACATGATATTACACAAAAAAAATATAGCAAATAACTTTTTTGAGCTTGTATAAAGAAGGAGTCTTGAGACCCTTGGGACTTAAGTCTGCAGGGAAGACTGTGCATGGGCATTCGTTTTTGTGTGTAAGTGTATAGTTGTCACCGAAGTCCCGCTTTGTAAAAAAAAAAAAAAAAAAAAATATATATATATATATATATATATATAATATATTATATATATATATATATATATTTATATGAAGTGGCAAAAGACAAATAAGACAAATAAGACTGCACATGTCTGAGATTCCTGTAGTGTATGAGTAGTGTGAATGCAAACTCTGTGAACACATACAATCAGACAACCACACACACCGAGCTATTTCTCAACCGTATATCAAATCTGAGCTTATAGCTCTCCGGTTGCTGTCCATTTACTCCAGGGTCCGTCTGGGAGAGTCCAAACTGATAGAAGTGCACCATAATGGACTTTTTATAAGCCACTGGATAGACAGACCCACTCCATCTTTCACTCTTTCTCACTCTGCTCTAACCTCTTTGCCTCTCAGCAGCAGATATGAAGACAGAAGTTAAATCTGGTTGGAGCAGGGCTCTCAGTTGCCTGCTGGTGGGGGACTTGGGGTTGTCGCGTGCCTTCAAGAATGGACTCAGAATCCGGTCTAGTTGGGTCACATTGGCCAACAGAAGTAGGATACTTTTATTTTCATGATCTCTCTCCATCTCAAATCTTGATTAAATACAACATCAGAGAAAAAAACAACATCTGAGCATGAATTTTATATTATACATTTTGAGGATGTGTTAAATTCGATAAATAAAATTGTAAACTTATATTGTTTTACAATTTTAAGTGTTTTAAGTCATGGCTAGAAGATTGACTGATGACAGATAAAGGCAATATCTAGGATGAAATATGATAATACTGTCTTTGAAAAACAAAGACTTCCTAAATATTCACACCTTTTCCTGTGCCAGCCATGCTGCTTGTTGTCTTATAAATACAAAGAAATCCTTTGGTTTCCATACTTAATCACTCCCATCCTTATGAGCAACAATATTTCTGTACACATTTGTATTTTCTGTAAACAAAGGAAGATTAAAATAGTTTTGAGCAAGCAGTGCACAGGAACAGGTGGGGTGGGGGAGCTTTACTCCAGAACTTTTGTCTGGCTTCAAACCACAGAACAAAAAATATCTAAGCAGCTTGGAAATAGAAACCTTTTCAGACCTTTAAATTAGACCAAAGTCTAATTTCAAAATGGAGGGCCAATACAATACTCATAATCTTAGTACAGCAGCACTACGTCCTTATTAACAACAGTGAAGAAAGAAGGAAGAGTATTTTGTTCTAAGCATAATAGCAAGGCTCACTGCTTTGGACTCTCCAATTAGGCACAATGGCTTAACATGTGGAATGTACCTCTGCATAGTCGACTTTACTTATTCTGTGAAGTGTTTTAAGTCATGGCTAGAAGATTGACTTATGAGAGATAAAGCTAATGTCCATGATAAAAAATAATAATACTGTCTTTCCTTTTGTTCACTGTACATTTCCCCTTACCTATCAAATATCATTACCATTCAGGTGTTAAAAAAAAAAAAAATAAAACATATCCTCACCCTTATCCTGATGAAAGACTCCACGGCTACCAGTTTTTAGTTTCCTGCCAGAGTCTCCCTTTATTTAAATTTCAAATACCCTGCTATCCTTTGTATGGATGAATCCAGGCCAACATATTCGCATTAACACAGTTTCAAGGGCATTTGGGAGTGAAACAGGCCCACAGCATCACAGACTCTCTTTTAACAGAGGACATGTAGTACTTTTCATGTTTTTCTTAGGGTTTTTTCATATTTTAATTTTGCGCTAGCATTTGTCTTTGTCATGGTGACTTTTTTTCTGAGAACCTGTTAGCTAACCTGTGTG